GGGGGAGGAAGGGGCATGGAAGCTGGTCATATCGGATAACCGTAAGTTACCCAGTGGGGGAGGAAAAGGGGCATGGGCAAGGGGGGAGGGGTGAAAAATAAGGTATGAAAATGAGAAGTAAGCCCTGATGATGTATATTTCCACACATGTACAGTCTTGTGAACCTCCAGACTTGCAAGCCCCTCTCTCTAAATAATGTCTTGCTCCTTCCCTGGTCATGAAAATTCACCGAGATGTACATGTAGTGATGGATTTTAATCCTGCCAACCGAAAAGAAGGAGGGCAAGAGCTGAAAATCATAACGCACCACCAATCATCACCACAGAAATCTTGTGGAGAATTGTGATGGCCAACGTGGTCGTGCATACACGTAGGTGCAAATATCGACAATAGATCAACATGGAGTGTACAATCAATCATGCCCCAGCCTTAAAATTGTTTTAACTCTTCAACTGTTTCACCAAGTGTCAGTGCATTTGGTAAAGTGGGACATCTGTCGCCGTCCCCTCATGTATAGACTCTAACCTACAGTCATGCAAAAGAAGGCACACTTTCAAATGGAAGGATACCCAGCTTGCTGTAAAGATGGAGTTAACATTTCAAATGGAAGCTTTAACCCTAATCCCCTTGGCCCTTTTTGCGGGGAACCCTCCTCAATCCTCCAAAATCCTCCAATTTTGGGGGGAGGGGGTTGACAAAATCAGATTCACCCTCAGTCCTCCGAAATCCTCAAAATTTCCTGGAAATGTTACTTGGAGGTTTGCCTACTGCCACAATCCTTCAAAATTCTCTGGCAGTCCCTGTCATTATGTTTAAGCAGTGCAAATGGCATTCTTGAGTAGTGCAGTTGATCCAAAAGAAGAATCAGGCTGAAATTATGCACGGCCTGATTCAAAAATTAACACAAGGTCTAACCCATGACCTTTACGTTTGGCATCCTTTACAATCAGCCATGCACTTTTGCCATTCAGCCTCAATCCTCAAAAACTGCCGGAAGGATTTTGGAGGATTAAGGAGGGTTTAATGAGGCCAAATGATCTATGGAGCTGTGATAGTTAGATCTGCATTCAAGTGGACAATGAGAGTGTTTTCCTGACGTCTTGTGTCTGCAGATCCTGGTAAATTCTCCAACAAGGACGTCCAGAAAGGGAAGCTTCAGTCCTGGAAACTAACACTGTACGGGTCCAACATGAATCGCCAAGAAATAGAAAAGAGGAAAGTGTAAGTGTGCGATTCAGTTGAGTCCTGTACAGTCATGTCTCATGTCAGCGCTGCTCGGACTAGCTGAATAGAAGGTTTGCACCGCTGCCATTTTGCAGGCCAGTGCTTTTGTTCCACTGGGTGTGCACAAAGGAGGTTGCCCTGTGGAACAAAAGAACTGCCCCGCAAGATGGCTGCCATGCAAAGCCTGTATTACCTTAGTATAACCTTGTAAAAGAACTAGAAGAATTGATTGAAAAGAGTTCTAGGGATTTGGACAATCCAAATCTGCTTTTTAGTAGAGGTTATGGGTTGCTGGTGTCTCGGTGGCCGTTCTTTGTTATTTTAATATATTTGTTATTTTAATATCGTTACAACGAATGCACAAGAAGTTTACTGGAGCGTATCTCAGTGGAAGAGAGAAATACCCTCTAATGTGACGTCATGTGCATCAGGTCTGTATCGAGAGTTGATGGTGTACAAGTTCATGTATGCTCGACACTCCCCCAACAACTGGTATTCTGTCATTGGATTCTGTGCCTGAAGGGTAACAGTACAGACTTCTGTCCAAGAACAATAAGTTGTAATCACGAGAGCCGAATGCTGAGCTCGGCCGAGCCAACAAACTGTAGTCACTGTTTACCTCTGGGGGCTTTAAGATCTGACATGGCACCAATTTCTGCTGTCTTGATCCTACTCGTTTTGCAGTCTGGTCTCTGAAGCCATGAGTGGCATATTCCTTGATGCCAACCTGTCAGAGCCGTGCTCCTATTACTGGAATGTCAGCTATGGGGAAGAAAGTCTTCTGTCGTCCCGCGTGATGGAGGTAAGGGCGAAACCCACAACAGGAGGCTGTGATGAATAAGTCTTTTGCGAGTTCAATTTGAGTAAAATCTGGTACTTTGAGTGCTTTAAATTCACGGTAACATAACGATTTGAATTCTCCATACTACAGTCGCTGTTGCTATGCGTCGTGATTCGGGGCAAGCTTTTCCTAGTTATATAAGAGACGCCTTGCCTCAGTACAATATTCTCAATGGATAAGAAGGGCACAAAGGATCCAGTCCATTTTAGAGATGGTGGTCGCTATGCAAAAGCTTGCCCCAAATCTTGAGCTACAGCAGCAGTGTCTTTAGTCTGGGGAATTCAAATTGTTATGTTTATGTGCAATCGGATAACTCAGTGTACCAGATTTTATTCCATTTTAACTCGTAAACTGCATATTGGGCCAGTGTTGGATTTAAGACCTAGTATGACCATTACAAGACCAACGGGAAAGCCCTAGTCAGGATTTGAGTCCAAAACTGTTCAAATGAACTGCAATGGAAGCATTCCTATGTCACCGTACACCCTGATACTTATGACTGGTTTTTGTGTCTGGCCTTGTGCATGGTCTCGAGCGCGACATTGATTTGGGACCAGACTTTTGAGTCTAGATATGTGACTTGGCATGCAAAAATCAGGCCGATTTCTATTGTAAAGAACTGCCTGAAGAGAAAAGCCCCCAGAACAATATGGGATGATTTTTTACCATTGTTACCATTGGTGATTCCACCTTTTAGTCAAAAGCGGTTTGAAATTTGAAACCGAATTTCAATTTTTTTGACACATCTTAGAAATACAATCTTTAACTGACGCTTGGTATGTTATTTAATTGGCGCAAAATGGCTTCAAATTTAATCGGGGAGGGGGGCAAGTGGGTAAAAAACTAAGATTGGAGAAGAATATTTAGGCCATATTTGGACACTGTTTTGGGACACGCATTCTTAAACAAGATGTTATTCAGTTTTAGTGCAGAAATTTTTCCACTTTTTTTCTCAGATAAATACATGGATTATAACGATGTTATGTTGAGCTCAAGAAAGAGGATTGTTTTTTGCAGCCAATACAGCCTTTAATATTCAGCGCTGTGTAAAATTATCCTACCCTGCACTTCTATCTTTCTGCGACATTTGTGCCAATTTCTTTGCAGGCTGGGGCTCATGCCAAATCAAGAATCTTCAGTGGTGATTGTAAAAATTTGTTTTTTAAACTCCGTTTTTTTTCACCGGTGATTTTGTAATCCAAAGTTTAAAGAACAATTCAGAAACTGTCGAAAGTTAGTTACAAAGCAAATTAGCAGACACATTGTTATCTGCATAGTCATGAGAATGGTCACT